AAGTGCTGGGCAGAATCATAAATACAAGGGTTTGCAATTTTGTCTTCATTTTAACATTTCCAAGCTCGGATTAAGGCGCTCTTTGGGGCAAATGTCACCATATGAATTGGAGTAAGTGTTCTCTACTCGACTTTGGTTATATTTCATGAATCCATCTTCATTTTTAGCAATTGGTTGATGAATTTAAAGAGAAAATTGGGGGTTTTGGCCTAAGGTTTCATAATGTGAATTTTTGAGTTTTGAACATCGAATTGGAGTCGGATGTGAGTGAAACTAGTATGGTTGGACTCATAATTGAATGGGTTGTCGGATTTTTATAAATTTTGTCAGGTTTCGAGGTGCGGGCCCGGGTTGGGCTTTTGGCCGATTTTGGATTTTGATTAAGGATTCGATCCTTATCCTTTGTAATTGCTTCCTTGAGCATTGTTTGATGTATTTGAGTTGTTTGTGGTTAGTTTCGAGCCATTCGGAGATCGAAACGTGCGGCATGGCATTTTGGAGCATCGCTTGGCTTGCTCAGTATTGGAATTGGCTCGTTCGAGTTAAGTAATACTTTTAAACTTTGTGCTGAGGGTATGAAACCTTGTATTACGTGTTATGTGACTAGTGTTGAGGTGACGTACATGCTAGGTGACGGGTGTGTGGACGTGCACCGTGTAAGTTGTGACCCCGTTATTTCCATGGTACTGTGTAGTTACCTGATCTTATCTGTAACCATAAAATCTATACGTACTAAAGTAATTGAGTTGTCAATCATGTCACTACTAGAAATTATAACTATGGAAACCCTTCCAAAACCGTTGCAATAGACACACTAACCGTCCATGTAGGGCTATTGGGATGGATTTGGACGCGTTCCAAGATCCAGCGTTACAATAGGTCTATTGGAATGGTTATTTATAATGGGTTAAAAACCGTCTCCATATAAGGATATTGTAACGGTTGTGGAACTGCTAACGTTGTTCTATCTATGGGAACGATTTTCATTTCTGTTGGGATGATTATAAACCGTTATTGTATAATAATACCAGCGATTTTTTAAGTCTATTGCAACAGTTTTCAGGATATACGGCAATGGTTTTTGTGATATATTAGAACAATTATCAGTACCCTATTGCAAAGGATATTATAACATATTGCAACGGTTATTAGGGGTTGTTGTTATTATTTGCTAGGTCTATTGGAACAGTTATATTCTTTATTACAATAATTCACAATTGTAATTTATGATATTTATGGAAGCAAAATGAAGAATATTTTCCTATTCAATGAAATGTTTTACACCATAACTTATATAAATCACGAAATAAAATTAAAACATCCAACTAAAATTATCCATATACAAAAATAAAATATGAATACATTGTTTGATCAACAATTCAAAAGTCAAAATAGATGAGTTTGCATACAAAAAGTTCTAAACTAAAATATTCTTAAACATAAAAATAGAAAGTCTAACAACAATCAACAACACTCAGGTAAGGTCTTCGTCACTGCTTTCATCTCCAATCGTTGCACCTACAAAAGTCAGAAATAATTAAATAATTTTTTTTAAAATAATTGGATCACAAAGTAATTGAATGACCAATTTGATAACTCGAAAATTTTCAAACTCTCTAAATTCTTAAATTTTTCGGCAGAATTTTCTTTGTAAATACGACTATCCCAAAATTTTCAACCAGCTCAAAACATCATTTGTAAATACGACTACTTCAAAATTTTCAACCTTCCCAAAACATGATACAATTTCCATACGGAACCTAAGATCCATCCACAAATCACAAGATGAGTAGTTGTACTTTAAGCAGATTCAATAAACCAGAATTCGCAACAGACAAACCAAATCAAATAACTCTCCAGACTGTTATTTTTTAAGCAAGACAATCTGCATTAACATCTTTGAATATTATTACATCAAAAAACAACATCAACTAAACAACAAGACAATTTGTATCATCTTACGTGTGGATACTGCGCGTAGCTACATTAGTAACTATAAGGACAATATTAAGGAAACTACACACATCAACCTAACAAAAAGAGAACTCCATAATTACGTACTAATGGCATGATCTACAGAATTCAAGCATGACACACAAGAAGATATAACAAGTTACACGGCATATATTAGAAACAGAATCCATTAGATCTTCTGAGATATACTCGCATACAATGTAATTTAAAAGCATAAATTAGAAACAGAATCCATTAGATCTTCCGAGAACACCATATGCATCAGAAGCCAGTATTACTACAACTATTTATGCTTCAAATGCTTATATCAAAACGCTAACATATTCAGGTAAAAGCAGCAGATATTTCATAGTCATGCATAGCTAGAAAATAAAATTAAACTAAAAATTCCAATCCTTAATACTCCAGCTTCAAACTACATTTGATATGATCTTTTGATCCCACTCTATCAGACAACCAACTACATTCTCACAGTTGCCTCAGATGAAACTAAACGAATACCAAAAACTTTACACTAGAACATATAGCAGGAAAACTGGTAATGTTCAATTTCAATCACAATGTTAGAAGAAGTAAAATTCAAAAGTAATATAGGTGTTAATTGCTCTTCTGGGAACTGAAGTGTCTCTAATGTAACCATGTATGCTTTACTTGTAATGTAACCATGTCACTAATTGAAGTGGTCGTGACTTGAATGAGTTATTATCATCTTCATTATCAACATGTGGGGGGGGGGGGCAATGGAAATCCAGAGGGTCCTACACGCTAATATACTCCAGTATGTTGGTACTGAAAAGGTTTCCTTTGAGCTAGCTATATATCATTATTTCATCTCTTGTTTGTTTATATGATACTTCACTTTGCTTCTCCTATTATTAATTATTAAGTATTACCATTTTCAAGGGCCGATGAGATGTCGAAACCAAAGGACAACACCACTCTTCATTCACAGTTTCTTAATTTAAGTACTACCATTTTCCTCTAATCCTGCATGTTAATATATAAATAAGTACTATTTCAACTCAAATAACATAGGAGTTTAAGACACGCAATAAGAACTAATTTGACATACGCACTGGTCCATCCGTCCAACATGAAAGCAACTGTAGTTTCTTACTTTCTTTATATTCATGGCTCATCTTATTAAAGGAATCGCTTTTCAATTGAAAAATACATAAGTGACTGCTCTTGCATGTGTAAATGGAGCTATCAATATTAATACTTGAAATGAGTTGACCTTCTTTGTTGTTACCATTAGATGGATGACGGATTGGTTGCAAAGTTATTTGCTGTGCAGAAGAAGCTTCTCCCAGTGAATTATCACCCAATGCCGCTAGAATAATGTTAGCATCAATATCAATTCCTGAACGCTGAAGTCACACAATGATATCTGCAACAACTTCTTGACAAATAGTTGCCTTTTGTTCCTCAATTTTTTCCTCCATTCTTTGTATCTTCTCCTCCATTTTTTGTAGATAATTTGTAGTATTTGAAGAGGGTTCAAAACATCCTACTTTTCCTCTCAAAGAAGTTTTTGTAATCCCTCGTCCATATAATCTCAGACGTTACGGATGTTCAGGTCCCATGACATATGCAAATGCCTCTATGGACTCATTGTCATTTTCATTTTGTTGTGCTTCAATTTCCTCCATTTTAGCCTTCAAAGCAAAATCAAAAAAATAGAACAAGTAAATAAAAAGTAAACTAATAAAAATAAATAATTGATTTCGATATAACATAAATTAAATATAATTAGCACAATTTAACTAGTTGTATGTTCATCCGAGCACTTGTATGATCGTTCATCTTTCCCTTTTCTTGTAGCTACAAAGATATCCTTTGCTGATAAAGGATCGGAAGTTTCCTTATCGTTTTTCTAGTTACATGAAAGTGAGTTAGCATTCCCGGTGATCTACCATGAACTAAACAGGAGCCAAAATTGAGAAATATTTAGTCCTGATTTACTAGTTACACACCAACTTAGAGCAAACTAAAGCAAAAACTTCTTTTTCCAGCAGTGTGAGGATTCTTCAATTGTTTCTGATTCTTAATATTAATTTTGGACATTCTCTGCAAAAAGAAAAAAATATCAAACAACAACTTAAAAATATGACTTGAGAATTATATAGTAAACACAATAGAAGCTAAATGGAAGAATATTGAAAGAGGCACCATGTGAAAGAAGCACCAGGTTCTGTCTACGAGTATAAAATAATAAGGTGTACTGAAATCTATTTTCAAACAATCATACAACTATTCTGTTTATAATTTTGAAACTATTTAGGTAAACTCGAGCAGATGAACATTTTTCCCTCAATATCAAATTCTGTTACATAAGCATTTTGGACATGGAGGAATTCTCCAAATCAAAATCAATATCAAGTGAAAAACATCTTAATGGATAAAGAACTGTAGAATATGATGAGTTCTAGAAATGTGTTGAGAGTGAAACAACTGATAATATATTATAACCAGTTGGCTAGTCTTTAAAAATAGCAGCAACAGCGAACAGAGTGTATATGCAGTAGCAATAAAGAGAAAAACAAAAAAAGAATAGCAGCAGTTAAGTAGAGAAAGAAAGGAAAAAGACAACAACAGTGTATACATACTATCAAACCAACAAGTTGCATTTATCTTTGGCTAGTCATTAAAAATAGTAGCAATAGCGAACAGAGTGTATATGCAGTAGCAACAAAGAGAAAAATAAAAATAAATAGCAGTAATTAAGCAGAGAAAAAAGGGAAAAAGACAACAACATTGTATACATACTATCAAACCAACAAGCTGCATTTATCTTTGGCTAGTCTTTAAAATAATAGCAGCAACGAATATAGTGTATATGCAGTAGCAACAAAGTGAAGAACGAAAAACAAATAACAGCATTTAAGTAGAGAAAGAAGGGAAAAAGACAATAACAATGGCCAAAAAGGAGGAGGAAACATCTCCAGGAACTTTAAGAAGAAGTTCAAGAAGAAGAAGAAGAAGAAGAAAAAAAGAAGAATAAGAAAAAAGTACACATACCTGGAGTTTCTTTTTTTTTTTTTTTTGATAACCGTTGTTTCCGAGCCAGCTTGCGCACACCTCAACTAATTTCACGGGATACCTGCCACCTCCCACCAGCAACAGGTACCAGATAACTCTATCCATCAAGGCTTAGATAGATGGGAATAAATCACCTAGTATTTGCCTCCGCTAGGATTTGAACCTGAGACCTCATGGTTCTCACCCACTTCATTGACCACTAGGCCACACCCTTGGGTGCCACATACCTGGAGTTTCTCTGAGTTCCAATACCTAAGGAGTTCCTTAAACTGAGAAGCTAGAACATCTTCAGGGATATGTTGCATTTGAGTTTCATCATTGTGATAGGCGTCAAAGTGATCTTTTTTCAAGGCAGCTTGTACTGATTTCAAAGTTCATTTTTTTCAGCTTCAGGAATATCATATTTATCCTACAATTGATGTCAAATCTGTTAGTGCAGAAAATATGAAAGATTTTCAACCAAAAATTGAAAATTAAGAAGTTCAGACCTTGGTATATTTTCATATATCCTCTTTTGTGACCATCTTCCTCCAATCCAAAATATCAAGAGGACATAGAGTCGCATTCCTTGCCAATGTGTCGAGGAAGCTTCCAAACTCTATAACAACTTCATCACTAGGACCAACGGGTTGATTTAAGTTGTTAAGTAAAATCACTTTACGCTCCCCGCTTCCATGTACATTTTTCATCTTTGTTCTACCTCTTTTTCTTGTTTGAATAGAAGGTCCTACAATTATATGAACCAAAAAAAACTACCAAATCAGTATTGTTGATACATTGTCTATGACTGCAATAGGATGTAAACATTTTTAGATAAAATCTATATGTTCTTACCTTGTTCTTCACATTATTCATCTGCAATATGAGTTGTAGAATCCAACTGAACTTGTTCCTCCACTTGTTCATCTATTACTTGTGTGGCACGAGTAGTTGATCTAGTTTGTACATGTGCTGCTACTCCTGAATATTGTGGCAGAAGAAAATTCTCTTCAATGATATTCGGGCGCTCTTTTGTTGATTATTTAGCAGGAACAACATATTTTGCAGGAGTGGTTGATCTAGTTTGTACATGGGCTACTACTCCTGGATATTATGGCAGATTCTCTTCAATAATATCCGGACGCTCTTTGTTTGATTGTCTAGCGGGAGCACCATATTTTTGGCTAAACGAACTCCTTATTTGGTTTGCCAAAGATGCCATAGTTCCAGGTTTTGTGTATGTCGCGCTTGTCTTTTTTTTGGGCTTTGATGATCTTTCTTGACTCATGTCTATCAGAATCTGATGAAGAATACAAAAATAAATTAGCTCTAACGGGTATTATATAAAAGACAACACTAGGATTTAAAGGATCAGGCTATTACCTCCACAATAGACCTTTTTTATGAGTTTCCTCTTTTGTTATTCACCTGTCAAAGATAAATAAGATAGAATACTTATGAGACTACACAGTAGATGTAGATTCAAATGGAGTTCAAACGCCAACCTCATATGCAAGAACAGAAAATTTAAAACAAAAGCTGTCAAGTATTATGACTTACTGTCCTAGATTACTAGATACATAATATATTACTGAATTTTAAGTCTATATTTTAATGCACTGGCAAGCCTGCTCAATATGCAAAGAGATACCTTTGAAGTCTCTTTGCTTTTTTGATAATAGTTCTTATATTATTTGCTCAAGCGCTGACACACTTTGTTAGTAAATTGTAATGCTATAGTGGAAGTGGTAAAAAGATTTAATCTGCTGAACTTAAGTGCTTGGATATTATAAAAGCTTGAAATGAAACAAACTAAGCTTGAACTGAAATATATTAAAATAGCTTCATATATCAGACTATTGTTTCAATTACATAGCATATACAAAAGCTTGAAACTGAAACAAACTAAAGAGTCCAAGAGCATATACAAGAACATAAGTTCCTTCTTCAATCATCAGCCTCCATCCAATTCTAGTCCGTATCATCTAAATCATCCTCCTTTTTTGATATTTCCTTATCTATATCTTGTGAATGTTCTGCATCAACTGGCATATCAATAACATCAAGAGTTACATCTTCTCTCGACCATCTAACATCAATATCGGCTAATCTAGTCGACGGTAGTAACAACACTTTTCTCTCTCCAATACAAAAACAAAGGACTATCAACAATACAAATATCACTTAAAACTCCAACAGAAGGCGATCCCCGCTAATATTCTAAAATTAAAGAATTCACCGTTGGTTACCAAAAGACCTAAAATTAAAGAAAAAGGAACGATTAAAGGAAAAAACCTAAATCAGATAACAAAACTTACACATTCGTTTGGACGGCTTCTCCGATTCGAGCATAAAATTGACTTTGGAATTTGGGGAAGATTAGCAACTGTTCTTGAGATGAATCTATAAGGAGTTGAAAGAAATTAGGTTTCTGGATTTGGATTTTAGGAGTGAAAGAGAGGATTTTGGGGGAATGAATCTTTAAGAGGCAAAAAGAAAGAGATGGGTTCATTGGATGTATCGAATAGTATTACTGACGATGGGTGGGTTTACTAGGAAAAGGGTAAAAAGGTTTTAACTTTATATTTACATTANGGAATGAAAAACCGTTCCCATAAATATGTCTATTGGAACAATTTACAGATCCGTTGCAGAAAAACCTTCTATGGCAACGGTTCTGTTACCATTGTAACGGTATGATAGTTAAAGTGTGTTGATATCACCCAAATGCTATTGTAACGGTTCTAATCGTTACTATATCCACTCTATGGCAACGGTTTGTGAACCGTTGCTAAAGAGTTGTTGCCATAGGCTCATTTTCCAGTAGTGTATTAGAGATCATGTTTAGGCTATATGCTGGTACACTTGGGACCCATAGTGGTCGTTTCTTGCTATTGACTTATTGATTTCATTGAAATTTCATACTCAGTCATATTCATTCATCACATATCATATCTCAGTCTCTGTTGTTATATATTGATACATCATATCATCATTTTGGGCTAGTTTCATGGCAATGTGAGCCCGTGAGTGAGAAACCAGAGAGATTGATGATTGAGTAAGGTTGGGGGCCTGTTTGTGAGGATATTGTCACTATAGCATGTGAGTTGTCCGTGCGGATCTAGATATTGATACTATAGCACGTGAATTATCCGTGCAGCACGAGAGTTATCCGTGCCGAGCCAGATATTGATATTATAGCATGTGAGTTATCCATGCGGATTATTGCGCTTATGCTGTAGGAGCCCCTCCAGAGTCTGTACACCCCCAGTGAGTGCAGTTGCTAGTAGTTATTATGTTTGGGTTAGATCTGCTTTGATCAGTACTGAGCGACTGAATGTGTCGAGTGATTGAGTTGATGAGTGGAAAGAATGAGACATTGAGATTGAGCACTCTCCGAGTTTGAGTACATGAATTCATCACTGAAATAACTACATTTGACATGCGTACTTGAGTTACATGCATAGAGATGCATTTTCTTCTGCTACCAGGTTTTGGTGACATTTATGATTTTACGTGTATCTTAACATGTAGGCATAGAAATGTACTAACATCTTATTTATTGTTGAAAGAATTTTGAAAAAAATCACAGTTTTCAAACTTACATATTTTTGGTAATTTTGATAAAAGATTTGGGTTTTCATTGAGATACTTGAAAAGCATGCATATTTTCTGGAACTGTGGACGAGCTGAGCATTTTATTTCTGAGATACTTCTTTTATTACTTGTATTATGCTGTTATGAACTGTTGTGAAAATATTGGTATTGGACCTGATCTTTGTGTTAGCTCGTCACTACCTTCGACCTAAGGTTAGGTTTGTTACTTACTGAGTACATGGAGTCGGTTATACTCATACTACACTTCTGCACCTTGTGTGCAGATGTTGGCTGCTGATGTTGCTGTGTTCGATGGGAGCTGGATTTAAGATGTACTTGCGTCCCGGTTGTAGCTGCCTCTTATTCGTGGTAGCCTTAGATCTATAAAACTCTGTTATGTACTTTTCAAATAGGCTATGTATCTTTTTCATTTCAGCTTGGTAAACTCTATTCTTAGAAGCTCATGATTTGTACTACCAATACTTGGGAAATGTATAAAATTCAGATAACTCCTTCTGTTTAATTGTCTTATTAATATGATTGAAATTGGATAGTTATTAGTTGGCTTACCTAGAGGGTTGGGTTAGGTGTCATCACGACCAGTGAGTTTTGGGGTCGTGACATACCATTATTGAGGAAACGTCATCAGTTCCTACATTCTTCAACTCTTTGATTCGACTGAGAGTCAATTCATATGTCGGTCGGAACTATTGAGCTGGAGCTTAAGCCAAACTTCTATGCAGAAGTGAAATATTGCTTTACAAACCAACTACATCAAGAGTGAGAAGAATAATAAGAATAAAAAGGAAGTGTGACGCGCTTACATTCTGTATGACATTAAGTCTTCCCAGCCGTGAGATCACATTAGCAATTCGATCAGTAAATGAAGAAGGCCTCATTAACGGTGTGACTTTAATGATTCTTTTCCTGCCAAAGTAAAAAATAGTAGTATCAAACAATGAAGTAGCAGAAAGTGTAGCACATAGCAGTAAGCTATTGAGAAGCAGTCCCGTTGTATTGCACTAATAAATGACAAACAAAAAAAATGAGTAGATTGATCAGTGGTATATCTAAACCGCCATATTTTTATTTTATCCAGTTGAAAAATATTTCAGTTGATGCAATTCCACAAGATCCAGTTGATAAATTACCACATTCAAACCTCTTGCATACATGACATTCAGTGTTTCTTGACCAACGCGGTGTAAGAATCATCGTTAATCCATGTTATGGCAGTTGGTGAACAATCTGGGCGTTGTTTAAAGCCAATAACCATCCTTAAAGGTAAGTATAGAAGAATTGAAGAGCTGATTTCAATTGTGGTATTCCTCTACTTGCAACTAACCAAAACAGAAAAGTAATTTATAAAGACTATACCCTATACAACTAATCATCAAAACAACTTGAAAACTACAAATGCTATAAGATACAATAACATAATAAGATACAATAACATAATAAGAATTGGCCAAATAGAGCATAGATGATAAACACAGATGACATATAAAAAATTAATTTATAACATGATATAACTGATAATGCATCTTTGAAAGAAAGATGATGAACAGATGCATAAATAATGCATAAGTTCCTCGTAAGGTTAAAAGATCATAAAATATGCCCTGTTATAGAACAATTCTTTTATAAAAATATACGTAAAAGCTCATGTATCTTTGGAACTGAACAAAGAGAGATTGAAACGACTTACTAAGACATCGAAGTTGTTTCTAATTGTTGAAAGAAATGTAAAATTACTCATGCTATAAAAGTACTTTAATTTATAATTAGCATATTCGATGGTCAAAAGAGCTGATTAAATAGACACATGTACATACAAATTTTTAATACCTTTTCCTCTTGTATAACTAATTCAATGGAGATTTTATTTTCCAAATCTGTAAAAAACTCATCAAAGTGCATATCTTTGTTATCCAAGAATATATAACCCTTTTTTTTGTTTTGGATGCATATTCTACTTTTTATTGTGATTTTCTTATGTTCCTCTATGTCAAAGTGTCGTAGAAACTAAATTCTATCAATATTTATAGATTTGCAATGTCAAATCTCCATTTAATTCGCTAGACAAAGAGCGGATATATGTATGGGCTTTGTGAGGGTCTTTTTATGGACCATATAGACGTATGCAGTTGTTGATTTATAACTCCATTTGTAAAAATGAAGTAAAATGCAATATTGTTCGCATAGAAGATTTCAGTTGTTCCAGCCAATTCACTTCATGAAGAATCTTAGATTTTTTCATATTCTACCCAGTCTTCGTTACAATTTATGGTTGCTGGCCTTTACTCGGCACTTATTAGAATAATTATAATCTAATATTACGCTCTAAATTACTATACATGTAAGCATAAACAAATTATACAGCAATATAAGTCTCGAGCACACAATAGTATATGATATTATATTGAAAATATGTAAGTAGTGATAAAAGTTCATACCATTATTATCAGAGGAATATTTAGGCCGTTTTGGTTTCGTATGCATATGCTATTTTTTCTTGCGTGTTTTTGTTGTTCTTCCATGTCACTATTCCGTAGAACTGAATTTGATGTGAGAAGTTGTAGCGTCTTTTGGAAAAGAAAAATGAAATCTAGTGGGGCTAATTGGAAACTCCTCTGTTTGCTGATTCTGATGCACAACAAAGTCTATCTTCTGGTGAACTTATCTCATTGAATTTTGAGATTGGCAGTTGGTTGGACTTTGGGTGAGAAAAACTGAATTGATGAGAAGTTGCAGTGTCTTTTGGAAAAGAGAGAGTAATTACTCTGCGCCTCTTTTAAGCAGTCGTGGAATTCATCCACCGAGTGTTTAGGATTTTGTTGTCCACGATCAATCGTGGAGTGTTTTTTTTGAATTGGAGTAATTATTTTTTTTAGTTTTCAGTTTTAAAAAGTATGTGCCCAAAAACTTGGAACTCCATGATGTTAACAACTGAACTAGTTAATTATTTAAAATTTTGCAATTTTTTTCTATTTTTTTTTCAATCTCCAAAAGTATTGGAGTTTTGTCTTAAAACGGGACACGTGTTGATATTTCGTTTTGACACTTGGCATAATTTCCTGGATTTGCTTCTCCTTTTATATATTAATAGATTACATTAGCACAACTGCGAATTTCAGTATTAGCTCTCCGCCAAGAATAATTATTGTCAATAGAATATTAACTTGAAAAGACAGTATTAAATCCCATGTAAATTAAATGGACGTACTTCATATCAACCCGGGTCACAAAGGCTGCTGAAAGATTTTTTATTGGGGGTACAAAGTGTTAGATTCAAGTTTTAATGATAAAAACTAATATTACTCGTAATTGCAGGTATATTCGAGAAGCAGAAGAAAGTGCTAACCCATAATGCTTCAAAGATGGCAGACTCCAATCAATCGTAGATCTGTCTAATAGAAGAATACAATTCATGCGCGTCAAGAAAGGAAAGTCCAATATCAAGGAAGATTACGATCTCTAAGAATCCGCTCCAACTGTCAATCAAGCCACTAAAGGGACGATCAGGATCTCTAAGAATCCACTCCAGCTATCAATCAAGTTCCGCTCCAACTGTCAATCAAGCCACTGAAGGGACGATCACGATCTCTAAGAATCCTCTTAAACTATCGATCAAGCCACTGAAGGAAAGACTATCTGTCTGAAGATCCGCTCGTCTAAATGAATCGTGTCATTAAAGGAAAGCTATCACTCTCCATGATTGAAGGATTAATCAATGAAAGCTCCGCATTTATTCTTGGAAAAAACCATCAATCAAGATTTATTACAAGGATCAATTCCTTTGGGTTGGCAATCTCCCAAGATCCATCTCAATCAAGAATCAAAGCAGATCCCTCGAGTTGTATTTATAGTTAGAAAACAAGGAGAAGAAGAATATTTTGATCGAACCAATCTCAAGCTCTTTGGTCTACTCTAAA